GAGGCACAAAGAGATTACCTTTCTATTTTTTCTGAATGACATTTGTTATAGATTGTGTGAAAAGTTATGGAGAAAGGTGTCAGTTCAGCATTGTAAATGTCTTACTCTACATACTACTTTCTTAGACATTAACTCTTTCGTTTGAGTCTATTTGATTCCTTGTTAAACTTCTTGTAGTTAGTCCCTAATCTAACTTGTTCATAAATTGCAAAGGCAAAAATTAACAATTGTCAGAGTTATTTTTTTCTGATCTTCCAAATGTGTAGAAGATCAGAAAGGATTTTGAACAGTCACCTAAATCTACTTGATAGAATATACTATATCTCTATATCAGATAGATGTCTAACTAGAATTTCCTGCAAGAAAGGAATTTGCACAGCCTTTCTTAACTATTTGCTGAATTGGTTTTACATGATTTCTCAGAGCACCATTGATTATATTAAACAATAGTAACACACAAGATTCCACACAAAGGTTCTACTTACTGCAACTATAGGAAGAAAGTATTCCTGTTGTTTCAGCATTGCTATTAAATTCAGATTTTCTTAGGTACTGAGTCATCACTGCTGTTGCTGCTGAAACAGCAACTGCTTTCTATAGCTCATTGTAAAACAAGGCAGGTCTTCGGGATAGAGGCTGATAGTAAGGTGAGATAGCACGTCATTTGCTGTACTGTTGATGCAAACTGTACTGTTCCAGTGTTGATATAATAGCAGATGTGCAGTGAAGGAAACAGTGACTGCAGAGCATTTAGCCCACTTCCCAAGCATAACTTATATTGCAGAGGTCTTCGCAGAATAGCAAGTTTAGATTAGATCAGTTAGATAATATGCACCCATTTTCACCAGAATTGTTTCTGTTGGAATCCAAACACGATACTTGGTTGATTGTCTCAGAATTATGGAGCAGGCACCACCTCCAAATAGGATTGGCATTTTTCCAGTACAGTTGCAATAGGCAAGAATTATACAAGTTTTATGCTGAATGAGTCATTCTCTTGCACATCATGCTGATTCCCCTTGTGTGTGTGTGTGTGTAATTCCATCATTTCCAGTGCATTCAGTTTCATCATTCTTAGGCAGTTGTATGCACCAGGATCACACACACACAGAGCGAGCGCGTGTGCACGCACAATATGCTGTGGGAGGGAGTGGCCTGATCAGCATAAAATGTGTACAGTGCGGGTGTGAATGTTGCAATTTTACGGTATCTACTATTTTTACTGCAGTTGTTTTTAGGGATGACAAATTATGTCAGACAGCCAGACTCATATTTCATTATTAGCCCAGTTTTCAGTGACCTCACACGACACAACCACCCATCATGGGCAGCATCTCAATCCTGTATATTATGTATGTGGCAATAAGTCGGTCGTTTCAGTGGTCAGCTTTGAAAGCTCTACTTGGCATGATCTTTGCTACAGGGGATGTAACAATCTGAAATTGAAAGAGGCTACATTGCTGAGCTTATGACTTGTGCCACTCAGTGGGTGGCATAGCTTCTTTGCCAGATACCTTCACATCTGGCCCAGTACATGGAGTAAGTTCTGAATAACAAAATGTTCAAGATGCACACTTGACTTCAGCCTCACTCTTTTGACATGGAAGCCTCCCAGATAGGAGTTGACCATCCAGTTAATGTAGTCTTGGTTAATGTGAGGTAGGAACCAGTGTCCAATCACTTTGAATCATGTTCCAATCATAATATGAAAGTCTATACAATAGAAAAGCAGCTTCCGTTGCCAAGACATCACCAAAGTGACTTCTTAATTATGTTGCATATTTCATCAGATATTATTTCTTTCTTTCAAGGGAATTCAGTTTGACAGCCATCTTAAAAATGAACAGAAAAAAAATATCAAGATGTCCTAATTCCATGTATGAGTTGCTTCACAATGTATAAAAGTTCATCTCTACCAATCGTTCAGCTTATATCATAAAAGGAGATCTTCTTACACACGTCCTATGTACTGTACTAATTACACAACAGAGCAATAGCATCATTGTTTCTCCCAGATCAAACCTTAGGATTCTGCTCCACAAGCATGAAATAGCATGAATGGCAGTCCATTTACTTGTGTGTGGAAAGTTCTTGCTCAATCCCTTGTTCCTTGACTCAGACATTAATTTATTAGTTTAATTTTTGCCCCCTAGTTTGAAACACCTAGTCTCTGTGTGTGGCTTTTGTTTATTTTAGCTTTGTACATGCTTTTCTCTCTTTCTGAAACTTACGAAACAGCTTTTTCTCAGACAAAATATCATATAGTATGTTTTGGATGCCATTTTTTGCCTTTGGCCTACTTCTGGTTTTAATAATTGAAAACTACTGTTCATTATTTACATAAATCCATCTATCTTGGTCTTTCTTTCCTTAACCTTTCCCCTCTTGAGAATTTCAGGAATTCTCTGACTTTCCTTTGAGAAATCCTAGCCTGTTTTATCTAAGACCTAGGTTGAAATGCTTGATAATTCTGAATGCTGGGGGGAACTAATGACTATGTTTAAACAGTTTTTTTTCTTACTTTCATGTACAGCTTGCCATTTTCAACCCTTTTAAAACAGGCATGCGATTGGAAAAATGTGCACTTTTATTTAACATTCCGCTTTTTAAGTGGCAGGCTGTAAATCTCCACATGCAAAATGGAAGGGTGCTTTTAATCTAATAGGCAAAAACACACATGCCCTAAAGGCCAGTTATTTCAAATACATTTCCAGGATTTTATTCTGCTGGCATTTTTTCCTCTTCTCTTAATGAAGACGTGTCACAACTGGAGGCATTATACATGATTCTAAATGACCCCTGCACAAACCTCCCACATTCCAAATCCTTTACTCTGCAGCTGTGAACATCAGCCAGCCCAACATTCACAATTTTGGCTCCTTTCTCTTTCCCTTCCCTCCTCCTTTTTTCAAGCCGCGTAGTAAGAAATGTTTTATATCTGGCAATCCTCATCATTCTGATCATAGAGAAACCTTTTAAAGGTCTAGGTTTTTTTAGTTATGCCTCTTAATTAGATGTTTTATATGTTAGAACGTCCCTTGTTACCTGCAAAGGGTAAGATTGGATTGTGCTGTGAGGCCACTCATTACAAAGGATATCGATGCACTGGCAGGCAAGGGACTTTCCCCGGTACAGTCAGTCACTCAGCACGATTCCACCAGGACTGAGGGAGAAGGGAGGAAAAACTGGCAGCAAGAAAAGGATGGAAGTCATAATAAGATTGCTCAGGTACCAGTTTTCCCCTGGTAATGGTATAATGTTACAGCAGCGACAATTCTAGTGTAACTCAAAACACTCCCATTGGTATGACTAGAAAACTCCTCTCTCCCTGTCTCACAGTCACAATAAAGATAACATTCCAACTAACTGACCCTGGAGCTGGTGGTAGCACTGTACATAGACCTCCTATCGGGAGACATGGGTTTTATGTATCAGAATGAACAGAGGGGCGCTACAGTGCCCTCCCTTTGTGCATTCCCAGTTCTCGTTGCCATTAGTTCCTTCAAATGCAAGTTGTACTGTTAAAAAAGACATATTCACATCTTCTAAAGAGGTGCGCTCTCCACTTGTTTCTCCTGCATTTCCTTTGCCCACTGATACCAGAGAGCCTGTTTTACTACTGATGTGAGTTTCTGTTCTTTGTGCATCTGCAACCTGGCTTTTACCCTTGCCTTCAAATGGGGGCAATACAGAAAACCGCATCATGTTGTAGTATTGTCTCTGTGAAGGCAGAAGGATTTTTTCTGGGCAGCATCTGGTTCTTCATTTCTGCCTTCTTTCCATCTGATGGAGAGATTCAGTGTGAACTTTCTGGCCAGGGACATGTGTGTCTGTTGTACTGGATTGTTTGGATAGTGGTACTTAGTTCTGTGTATGTGTGTGTGTTTGGTAGTATCATGATTGGTGGATGTCAGTGGAGTTTACAGGGCTGCCATGGAAATTTCTCTCAACCTTGCTACATTTACTTTATTTTGAACAGTTATTGTTGCTCCATCATATTTGATTACTGTTGGATGAGCATGGTTTTATATGTTGGTCTTAGCCCTGGTGGAGCAGCTGCCCAGCATCTAAATACCATATAATTTGTCCCACCCCCAAAATGCACACGTGTGCATATTTGTGCACGCAAATAACACCCCCTCTACAAATAACACCCCTCTATTAAGATGCCTTTTTTCTTGTGTGAATTCAGTGAATTCAGCTTCAGCCATTAGCATGTAAGCACAGAGAATGGTGCATAAGATTCCATGTAATGATACCAGTTGCTAAATTAGGCAGTACAAGGAACTGAGATAAACTGGCAACAGAACCAGCCTTGCGTGCATTGAAATAGCCCTTAGCTTGATAACAGCAAAGCCTTCAATCAACTTACACAGCTGGCAGAGTTGCACACACAGTGTGCCTGCACTGTTGGAGTGGAGGCTTGCCTATAGCTGTCTGAGGGAAGGATTTGCCACTTCATTCGTCCGAGGAGTTTCTGCTCCATAACAGGAGAGGAGGTGGCAGCTATATTACTCTGCCCTTTCACCTTCTAATCTCCTTTGGCAGTTTTCAATGCCCAAAATGTGCGCTGGTTAGGAATTTTTCCACCTAGTGATTGATGGTGTTACTGCAAGCAGTGAATATCCAGACAGATATAAGGTATTGAAATTAATTAATGTGTTTGAAAGATTGAAAACAAAGTAACTCTGAGGTGCATATTTATAGGGTGCATTAATAGATATGACTTCTTTCTGGTTTCTAGATTTTATGGCCTTGGTGCTGACAGACAGTCATGCAGCCCCATTTTATCGTGAAATCTGTGTAAATTTCAAATTTGTGTAGCAACAACTTACATATGTGTTCTGGGGACTCAAATACTTTTTTTTCTCCAAAGAAGGCATGAGCTGGGGTTTGGATTCCTTATGCATCTCATCAATTTTCCTGTCAGTTATTCTAACCGTTGTTCTCTCTTGGAATTGATGAATAACCATTTTTCCCTTTTGTTTTTGCTTACCTAGGCTCCTTCAAAGATGGTTCGGCTGCCATTGAGACCTGGAGCTCTAATGCCACAATGAGGACTTACACACGGGGGGCTCCTAGTGTGTTTTTCATACATCTGGTTTGCTCTGCACTCGTCTATAGTAGCGACGACACCCCAAGCACTGTGGTTCCTTTTGTCAATGCCAACTACGATAGCTACCCAATGCTCTATTTTTCCAGAGAAGAGATGCAGGATTTGCGACTCAGAGCAGCCACCACACACCAGCACATCGCCGCTCGGTTGACCGAGGCTGTGCAGATCATGCTGTCAAATCCTTTGGAGTACCTTCCTCCCTGGGATCCCAAGGACTTCAGTGCTCGGTGGAATGAGATCTATGGCAACAACCTGGGTGCCCTGGCAATGTTCTGCGTTCTTTATCCTGAGAACATGGAAGCCATCAACATGGCCAAAGATTACATGGAAAGAATGGCGGCTCAGCCTAGTTGGTAGATTTTTGTCTTTGTTTTTACTGCAAAACAAATCGTTTTATATGAAAATAAGCATACAGTGGTGGGGGAGGGTGTTCTGGCTTCAATTCCTAAGCATTTTTAGGAATTCCTGAGCAATTCCTAAAAACAATAAGCATAAGTAAAGTGGTGGGGGAGGATGTTCTGGCCTTCAATTCAATTCCTAATTCAATTTCAGTTGGCTTTCAGGGACAGGTATTTTGCAAAAACAGTACCTAAAACACCTATGCCAAATGGCTTTAGCTTTTTCAGAACTACATGCACTTAATCTATGTACTTGCATTTCAGAAAGAAAGCAGCACCTTTGGGCACCTAGTCTGGAACAAATGCCTGTCCTCTACCTCAGGGCCACACACCTGGTTTCTGCTTAACATTAAGCCCCCTAGCTTTGTTTATTGCAGACAGCACCTCTGCTGCAAATAACAGCAGGAAGGGCTTTCATACCTTGTTTGCTTCTAATCTGGTATATTGTTTCCTGTCGTGTTCTATAGAAATCAGATTTACAGTTAAATAAACCATAGCAAACCTTCTGAATGTTCTGAATTGTGCCATGCAAATTCATTCTTTAGTTGGACAGTTTTTTGCAATCTCAATTGTTTATACTTTTGTTTTTGAGGTATATGAGGTTGATGTACATATATTTTAAAGGATTATGTATTCTAGTAATTACTTATTTAATAACCATTTAAAATCAATTGAGCATATATAGTGAACAAATAGTTCTCATTTTAAAATCTTTACTTCAGGTAAACCTCTTTGTATATAAGTATTTTTGGTGTATCATGAATTGTTCAAAGAATAATGAAAGCATTCCATAACCACCAAAATTAGAGTAAGGGATGGGGAAACCACGATAACTCATGTTACTGGTAGAGTAGTTAATATTACGTATTTTGAGAGTAGCTAATTTCAGGACAGCTGCTATTTTGCATTAGCTGATTGTAGATCTATAGGAACCTGCCTTATGTACCTACAAACTTTTGGTTCACCTAGTTCAATATTGTTGACACCAGCTGGCAATGATTATCCAGAATTTCAGGCAGGTATTTTGGAGATGCCCAGGATCAAACCTCGGACCTTATGCAGGGGGCTCTACCACTAAGAAAGGGACTTTACCACTGGCTCTTCCCTTCAGGTATATTTGATAACTGAACTGTGTGCCTTTTGTAAAGTAATTTTAAAAGGAAAAGAAAACAGCAAACTTCTGAAATACTGAAAAGATGGCCATAGTTGTATGGAATGGTCCTTCAGAGTTTGTTAACTTTTAGAAATGGATAGCTTAACATTATTAGTTCATTTTGTTGTGCTGCTTTAATTCCTTCCTTGGCCATTATACAATTCTAAGAAAGTAACTATTTCCTTGCAGATGTCTGTATATAAAAACAATTCATAGCTACAAAATAGGATGAGCATAATTATGCAAGTCTTTCAACAGATACTCTACAAGAAATGTTGAAACTTGTGGTAATAACAAAACGTGTGGAGAGAAAAATTGGGCTATGATAGTGCTTAAGTGTGAACTTTGCTGTGAGATTTGCCAGTAGAAACCAGCTGTTGCCCTTTCCATCTCTTACCATGCTTGGCTCTAGTGAAACAGTCTCCCAGCCCTGTTCCAGCCACTGGGCCACTGGAATGCTATTACTGTAAAGAGCGAAAGTAACCTTTGTTTTCTTTTACCTTATCTAGGCTGAATCACTTGTGTTCTAAAGCATCTCAGTGATTTAAATAATGTTTTGTTTCTCGCACTTGGAGCATAGTTTGAAATCCTATCTTCAGCTTGTGTGTCTTGCATTTGAAAATGATTTTTTCATTGTTGAGTTGTGCATGTACTTTCCTACTACGTACATCTTTGGCTGCCTGTTTGGAAACAGAACCTGTTTTACTGATCTCTATTGTTAGGTGCTGGCTATTGTATTATATCCCACCCTGCCCCCAGTTTGTGACCTTTTGGGGACCAGGGAATGTTTCTGTGTCATCATCATCTCCCCTAATTCTAATGATGCCCTCTTATAGCAGCATAAAATCCAAAACAGTTTACAAATTAGAGTAGGGAGAGAGGGAATGGGAGAGAAGGGAAGGGAAGGATAACAAGGATGTAGACAAGTTTTATCTGTACTTTTTATGTGTAGTAAGCCTGCAATCCTAAACATATTTACTTGGGAATAAATCCTATTAAATACAACAAGACTTCATTCTAGAAAAAAAGGATTATCCTGGAGGCTTGTTTCAGTTGGAAGTAAAGATTGGAGAAGAAATCAGATTTTTATGAAAATGATAGACTTTGAGAGCTGAGAGCTTAAGGGACAGAGATACAGTAGCTACAAAAATATTTTAAAAATGAAATGTAACTTTGTGCTCGATTGGTATCTTTACATAGATTGTAAAATGGTAGACTGCTTTCTGTGTACTGAAGTGCTAAGGCATAGGATCTAAAGTATGTAACACAGTTCCAAGTTGTGTGCTTGTTTGAAATACAGATGCAGTGTACCAGTGTCCACACTGGTAAAGAGGTCCAGTGGTAAAGAGGACAAAAGAATTTTCCCATTCCTGTTCTCACTTTTGAAGCACTACAGTCAGTACTCCTACAAAAAGTTGAGAAAATGCCACACCCTCTGGATATTTTAAACTCGTGCCAGAGAAATGCAAATAGAAAGGTTTTCACAATTGACCTGAAGGTCTTGTGTACTACAAGAATACCACCTGCATAAGTATTCTTATATTGCATAAGGCTTTATACGGGTATAGATCCACAAAATCAATGAATCTTCTGCAGGAAAGTCTCTATCTCACTTACCTGGGTTTGAAAAAAGTTGTCCTTTTATAAATGTGTTAGCATAACTCCACTGACTTTAAAGTTCTAAGCAAGCAGGTCTGGTTTTGTTTTTAAAGCTCTATTTGTCACAGTAGGAATTCATTGCAGTAGATGGAATGTTCATATCTGGTATTCTCATAAAATTTTATTGGCAGTTTGATATGTTCAAAGAAGTATTTACGTTTTCTTGATTTTTCCCTCTGATAATGATGTTAGCGCTAAAGATACTACCTCGAGAATCAAGGAATACCCCAGAATATTAAGATTCAGGTCTGTAATAATGCAAAACCTGAAACAAAACTATATTTTAAAATCTGTGTTGCATCAGTTAATTCTTTATGCTGTTTGTGATGGCGTACAAACAAGGCTTTTTTTGTCATAGAACGCACCAGAACAGCGTTCCGGCACCTTTTTTCGACGGATTTTTCCGCATGAATTTGATTCGCCCTGTCAGGTGTAGCAGGTCGGCAGCAAAATCATTAAAATGGTGCATGCGGGCTGCTTGTGTGTCCGCTCTGGTTGTGATGGCGCTTCTCAGCTTGTAACGCTGCTCGGCTTGTGATTGGTCGTGTGGTCGCGCGCTGAGTGCTTACTGCGGGCAGCAACCATTATGTTTCATTACACAGTGTTGGTGTGTGTAGAGCGACTGGCTACATGCAAAAGGTAAATAATTTCTTTATTTTAAAAAAAGTTGGTGAATTGAAAATCTTTTTTTAATTTTTAATGTAAATGTGTGACCCCAAATTTAAAAATGAAAAACATTACTAATTCTCAACCACCGGTCCTGCTAATAAAAAGGCCAGAATATTAAGAACTGAATATATAATTTTTTAAATAAAAGATTAACAAGATGAGAGTTCCAGCACCTTTTTTTTTTTTTTTTTTAAAAAAAAATAAAAAAAAAAATTTTTAAAAAAAAAAAAAAAAAAAAAAAAATTACAAAAAATTTTTTTTTTTTTTTTTTACACAACACTGCATACAAATATATTGATCAAAAAAATACAGTATACATGAACCCTAAAACTGAGCTCTTTGAAATTCTGGGCATCTTGAAATTGTGCATTTTTTGGTTTGCTTTACATTTTCCTTTCTATGCTAGATTTTAATAGAATAGGTATTTTATTCTAGAATATAATCAGGTTAAGTTTTCTACTGTTATTACAGTAATAAGAGCTGCAGAGTAAGTGGAGTAATTTCTCCTATGATTATATGGTGAATGTAGCCACAGTCCTTTTCAGAATAATTCATTTTAAATAGAATGTTTAAACATTAAGAAAATATTGGTTTGCTGTTTTATTTGGTCTGTTTTTGAACAATGGCTGCTCTTTGGAAATCCAATAATTGTGCCTGAAATTAACAGTCAAGCAGCACCTTGCTATGTTGGAATTCTAGTGTAGAATTACATTACTAGAGATACAGGCCCTCAGTCTTTCTTAGATTCTTTTTAAATGCTTGAAAACTATTTTCTTCTGCATATGCATGTAAAGTTTCTTTGCATATTTCCTCTTCCTTTACCACTTTACAAATCTATCTTTTTAACATAATTTTATTGACCTCTATAAAGGCAAATTTTAACCCCATTTTATTATATAAAACTGGATCACGGGAATAAGAACTTATAGGAAAAACGAATAGCCATTTCCAAAGAATGGTCTACCAAAATGGTTGCTCAACTGTTTGTGTTAAAGTTTTCACATATCTAAAAACTGATTAATAGGTAAAACTCCTTATTACTTACCAATTTTGGTAACTCTAAAGCAGCTTTTCCCCAACCTGTTGACTGGAGAGAACAGTTGTAGTTTAGCACATCTGCAGTAAAAGGCTGTGATAAAGTGTGAGGTATAAAAGCTTCACTCAGCTTCAGCTGTAACCCATCTATGTGTAACCCTAATCTAAGAATCACTGTACTTTAACAGTTTAGTCACATGCTGCTATCTCTGGCTCAAATATTATAGGGGGAATTGACTCATAACCTTTTTCTCTGGGGTGTTTCATCTCCTTAATGAAATTGCAGCAGAATAACTGAGTTGAGGGTCACTTGCATGTTACCAGAATGTTATCAGAATAGGCAGATGAATAACCTTTTATCAGCTGTATTTAGATTGGTTTTCAGAGCTTGAAGTTATTCTCACGAATTCACCCACATGCATACCATTAAATACTCTAG